AGAAGATCTACATGGCAATAAAATTGACTTTCTATTCTACCAATTAAATCTATCTAAAATTTTACCCGTCACAGCGTTAGATAGTAAATTCTTATAATTATATTTTTGTATAAATAGAATAGAAATTTGTCCTTACAAAAGGGCAGTAATAATAGTGTAAACTCAATAGTTCAAGTTCAAGACTTAAAATCCAAGATTAAGGATTGTTAAGGATATAAATCTCTATAATAAAGGAATTTTTTTTTAAACTACATATATTAAAAATCCTTCAATGTGTTAATTGTGTTTATTATGTTTATAAATTATTAAAGTTATTTTTACTCGTTTAAAGTATAAACTTAAGGTTGATTGTGATAGGACTTATTCTACAGTAACTTAGTAATTTCTCGCATATTACTCCCTGTTATTAAGTTATAGTTATCTTAAGTTCAATAGTTGAGCGTAAGGTTAACAACGTATATCAAAAAAAATAATGAAAATATATATATGGGGTTATATATTTTTTAATTTTTATATTTCTCAATATTAAATATAAATATAAAAAAACTTTATTAATAAAAAAATTTAAAAATTTTTTTGATATAATTTTTACAATATTAAATTATAATAATTTATTTTATATGAATTTTTTTAATTTTTGCAGATTTAGGTAATGTATTATATGTAAAATATAAAGTTCTATTTATATATTCTAAAATTTCTTGTATTACTAGTTTTCTTTTTAATAAATTACCACCATTTTTAAGTATTTTGTAAAAAAAAGTAGAAACATTTTTATATTTTAAAATTTCTTGTATTGCTGGTTTTCTTTTTAATAAATTACCACCATTTTTAAGTGTTTTGCGAAAAAAGTAAAAACTTGATTATGATTCTTTTTTCTACAGTAGAACAAGAAAATGCTTTTAGACCTCATTTTTGATGTTTTTCTAATAATTCCTATCCATGATATACTAATGCATGCATATAAGGAGTTACTTGGCATATATAATCCTTGTATAAAAGTTTTTAAAGAAGGATTTCCTTTTGATGATTGTTGTTTCAATTGCATTAGATTTGTTATTTTATCACGAATAGAACAATATAAATCATAAAATCAATTCCAAAGTTTTTGTGTTAATTGTGCACGTGATAGTTTAAAGAGTAATTTTAAATTAAAAAATCGTAAAACAATTTCTTTATCATTTTCCATAAGAGATGTATATTTCCAAATATGTGAATTTTTATCTTTTCAAAAATGAAAAGATATTTTAAACGTTGCATTTCATTTATAATAACTTTTCGTGTTAAATTATTAAATAAATTACGTTCTTGAATTTCTGCAAGCATTAATTTCCAAAGCCAATCAGTAATTCATAAAAGAACATGTAATTCATCAAAATTATATGATCAATTGGAATCATATCAAAAAGAGAAGGGTGAATATGACCATGAATTTGATTATAATTTGTTGCAATTTATTTCATATTTTTTTTCAATGTGCCAATCTTTATTTAAATCTCCATTTTGATCTTTTGAACATAAATACCAAGGACAAAAATATTTGGAGTTTGCACTATTTAATCCAAGACAAATAGCTAAAAATTTCCAATCTGCATTAAAGTATAATTCAAATTTCCATAAGATTCCAGATATTTTTAATCCAAACTTCTTAAGTGATCGTAATTCATTACACAAAGGATCTAATATAAATTTAAGTGTATTATAATTTTCAGTTCCTGGATATAATATTATAGTATAATAATAATCTGCATGATGATGTCGACTTTCATGATTTAAAATCATAAATGTCACCATAACATGTTTAATTTTCTTTCCTACATTTCGTCCATCACCAGAAATACGCAAATGAATAATTGGATCTGATGATTTTAATATGTCTTGTTTTTGTAGTTGCGGAATAATATAATACAAAATATCTTTTATACTACGACGGATACCTAACCCGATTGTGTTAACAACTTCTTGTACTATTTCAAAATTCATAATATCTGATTTTTCAGATTCTTTAATGTCTTCTAGTTCATTTTTTTCTTTTTTATTAACTAATGAAATTTTGATTATATTATTCATATAGTTTGTAATTGCAATTCGTTCATTAGAAACGGAATTATCACGTGGTAAATGGTGTTCTACAGCAGCTAATTCTCGATAAGAATCTCTTGATATCTGCCCTTGATCAACCGCTTTCACTACAGATTGAATTTGAGAATTTTTTTTTACTTGATCTTCATATCCAAAATTTACTTGGAAGTCTATTTGATTAACAGAAAATTCCATTGCTTTTAATTTAACTTCGTCAGATTGGTGATAAATTCCTTTAATATTATTATCAAAACTGGATTGTATTTTTGTTTGCAATTTTTTTAGCGCGTTTTTCAAGTGTTGACAAAGTACAATTATCAGCCGGTTTAATTAAATTTCCTCTTCTTTTTGATTCACGTGCTATTTGCACACTTTTTAATTGTAACCCAAATATAAGAGGACCCGAAAGAATAGCTTAGTTTCTGGTTTTAAAGCCTAAAAAATTTAGAAAAATATGTTAATAAATTAAATAATATTAATAAATTAAGGTTAATACTCACTCTTTCATAAATTAATGTTGCATTTGACGGAGATTTAGTTGAAGAAATAACATACTGAAAGTTTGGACCATATTTAATACGAAACTGAGGCGCTCCGTCAATATAATCAATTTCACAACAAACTGTTTGTTTGTTAGCAGCACGTCCCCAAGTTGTTTCTAAAACATAACCATGTGGAATTTTGTATTGTTTAGTTTGCCTTTTTCTTCTAATGTTGCTAGTATCCTGCAAAGTTTCGTTCGTTCTTTTTGTTTATTACTCGGCCTAATAACAACATTGTCGGGATAAATCCCTCTTTTATAATAACGTAACTAAAACTACGTTTGGTTTTTTCGATTTACATGTTCACGGTATAATGAAAATTTCTAACTTCTGAAAGAAATATTTCACAATCCTTACAATTTTTCATTATATATTAATCGCTTTTCGGCGAGTATACATTACTATTAGTTCTAGTGGCCGGGTTGTTTGACCCGACTCGAAATTTTTCTCTCGAGTCGGGACTATCATTTTTAGTCACAAATGTCGACGATTAATTTTTTTTTTTTATACCGACAAATTTTCACTTTTTTATTTATATATATCGGATGTTTAAATCCTCTCATGGACGAATCTGAGCCATCTTTCTGTATGATAATTTGACCTAACATACTAAATAAAAACAAGTAAACTTCCAAAAGGGCTATGTGCTTACATTAAATTTTCTGCAATACTATGAGTAATTTCTTTAATATTTCCTAATAGACTAAATGTTATCGAATAATATATTTTGTTAATTAATCTCTTTTTTTTTTTTTAGTCCAATATATATTGTATCCTCAGTTATAAAAAATGAATGGTTATGATAATTCATTTAAGATGTGATTACTTAAAAATAATCGGAAATGACTTTTATATAAAGTATGAGAACAGTCGGATTATGTGCAATTTCCTAATTAGTCGTCGCTAGTTCATGTGGCGCTGCAGTATTTAAAATTTATATTAAATATCTCGTAATTTATATAAAATGCATGTCATGTTGATTGTGTTTGGGTTTAAATCGGAATAATTGTCTATAATTTTCTCGAACAATTTTTTTAATCACCGGACTTTCTTTCTTTTTATTTAATAAATACTCTTGATTATTTATTTATTGATGATTTAGTTTCTCCAGCCTTTTCGCTACACTTGATTGTTCAGTGATTGTTGGTGAAGTGGTAGAGATAGCCGAGAAGAGAAAGTGGCCGCATTTGAGTTGATGCTGCCGCTGCATTGTCAACGACGAATCGAACTTTTGTTTGTCATGTTTGTTTTCTTTTTATCTTTTGTTTTTTAAAGAAGGAAATCCTCGTATGTAAACTGTAAACGCAAAAGTCAAGAACACTGGATGCACTGAATGTATTTGTTTCGGCACGATGAACATTTAAAAAATAGAAAAAAAGAAAAATTGGATTTTTATTTAAAAAAATTTAAATCGATTATAGAAAGTTCCAAAAAAAGTTTATCCTTATGAGGAAGGATATGTATATAAACAATTTCGTGTCTAAACAATTAATTAAATTGAAATATTAATATTTACGAGCACAAAGGTGAGATCATCGTTTCTTTATGTAAATAGGGCAATCAGACCCTTATTAGGACTTACTCGCATTTACAAAAACGTTCATTAATCAGTGAATTCGATTCGATAAAAGGAATGAGTATTGTTATTTTATGATATCATCGATTCAAGGCATCTTTTGAAACAAACTGTTTCCAGAAATCTGTTGAATCTCACAAAAGGTATACCTAGAAATCCTTAATCAAGAATTATTACAAATTCAGAGAGACCGACAATTACTCCAACAGTTGTCACATAAAATTCAAATCCAAATCATAAGCCAAATCAAGTATAAGAATATAATTAGAAAATCATTGAAAAAACTAATAAAACTAATCATTAAAATCAGGCCCCCTTTTTGTAAACAGGTTTCAAACCGAATCGTTAAAAAAAATTAAAAGATTCGTTAATTTAAAAATATATCGTTAATATTTTTTTTTTTAAAAAAAAAAAAAAACCTCGATAACCTTCCGTAGTAAAATAAATTAAAAAAATTTTTTTTTTTAAAAGAATTTCGATCCTCTATATTTAAAAATAAAAAAATCAGTCATCTCCGTAGTAAAATAAATTTTAAAAAAATACAATTTTTTTTTTATAATAAAAAATCGTCACTAAATTTTAAAAAGATTCCGTAAAAGCATTTCTTAAAAAAATTTCAAAATGATGCTCTTAACATTTTGAAAAACAATTCAAGATTTTTACATCAAAAATGACATTTTTGTCACGGCATGTAATTTACAACCTTGGTTTATTTATATATTTTTCGATTATTGTTTGTGCGCAGTATATGCACAGATTGAATTTTCTATATGACGTAACTTTTTTAGTAACAAAAACGCTTTATCTTTGTCAACTCAAATGGTTAAAGGGACTTTACAATTATAGGACATTCCAAACATATTTATTTCTCGTGTCTCATGCGATTTATAATTATTAAATTGTTTTGGAGTGGACCAAAATCCATAGCGTTAAGATAACGTTTCCTTCGACGAAATCGCCTAAATTTTAATAAATTTGACACATTTCCGTCACAGTGCTCCGTATTTAAAAATAATGAAAAAAAAAGAATTACTTTTTAACGTTTTCACAAGAATAAAGATCTATTTATCAAGATAATTGACATCTAAAAATTGCAATACCAATTTTATGGGTATAAATAAGTAAAGAATTTACAAAAAAAATTTCAACTGATAATTGGGACTGATCAACTTATGGAAGGCTTTATTTAAGAATAAAATAATTAACTAATTAGAAACTTCATGATAACAATTCTTTGTATTAAAAAAAAAAAAAAAAAAAAAAAAAAAAAAAAAAAAAAAAATGCTAAAATGCAGATTTTCTACCTTAAAATCTAAAATGACAAGTTTGATTGAAAATCGTGTCAATTATTACGCTCCGGAAATTAGTTGAGCTCTTAAATATTCCTAACTGAGATTTGTGCTTAGTTTCATTATACATAACAAGATTTTTCAGATAATTAATTTTTTATTTGCGTATTTTAATATACAGAAAAACAGTATTATTTTAAGAACTCATTATCGATATAGGGATATTCAAAAATAAGTATTAAGGATAAATTCTTTACAGACCTTTTATTTCTGGAGTCAACGTGAAAATCCGAATCGATTATTAGACTGCAATCGTAAATTCGATCATAGTGCGATGACTCATTCTAACCAATTTTTTTCCAACGAGCCCTATATATCCAAACTTGACACGACACGTAAACGCCGTTGCTCTGTACATATCCTCAAGGTTTGTGACGCTCCCCATCATCGCTCGACTTTTCCATTTCTTGTATCTCATGACTAAATAAATTAATCAATAATTCTATATTGTTGATACTTTTAACGTTTGTTTATATCGAAAGCTAGTGACTCCACTGAATTTATGGTTAAATTTCTAATGGACAAAACCAACAAAACGTCTAAGTGATAAAATAAAAAAAAAATAGAGTAGGTGGTGGAGGGTCAGACCAGATTCAATCAAAAGAGAGTCTGACATCCCAAACAGATGCATAGGAATAGTATTATC